CCACCAATCACTAGTTCGTTGAAGGCTCAGAAGTCAGCGAAGAGTTCTCCATTTCCGTTCATTTCTCCGAGAGCTTCTCTACCCATGATGAGTTCCCTTCCTGTGTCGTCTGGTCCCAGTTTGGCCTTCATGTCTCCCATTAGTATTTTAATGTCACCGACTGGAGTATTGTCCATTGTTGCTTGTAGTTGTCTGTAGAATTCTTCTTTCTTTTCGAGATCTGCGTTGTTTGTGGGTGCATACTATTGAATCTGGTGGTCAGTACACTGGGCGAGGCCGCCTCCCATTGCATCAGGGCCTTCGTTGCCGTTGGTGACATCATGATAGCCACGCCCTAGGTGTGCATGTGGTTATCTTCTGGGTGACCAGAGTAGATCACTGACTCACCCGTCGCCAATTTGGTGAGTCCATTCCCGTTCCATCTGCTTTCACATATTCCCAGTACTTGGATTCCGTATCTTTTCATCTCGTTTGCGATCTGGGAAGCTTTGCCAATCTCGTACATGGTACGGACCTTCCATGTCCCCACACAGACTTTTTCTTTTGGCGCAAAGAGGTTCATTGTACTGAAGTTTCTGCAGCAACTTTGTTTACAGGGTGGGGTTGCTAGCCTCACGCCTGCGGAAGGAATTGTTACATTAAGATAAAGTTTAAAGAGAAGCGACTTTGTGGGTTGCCCCCCTTAAAATCGGAAAACAAGGAATACAAGGAATAAACCATTCAGAACAACATCAGCAAAGGAAAATAATTCACAGCAAAAAGGGCAACAAGCGACAACAACAATACAATACAACAACATACAATACAGTTGAGCACAGTTAACTGAAATGATACCAGAACCATAGACTCACTGACTTGGGCCAACTTGAACATGTAAATCCAACAATATGTGCAGTTACAGATGTAAGTTTATGTTAAAAATTCACAAAATCCAGTTAGTTACAGATATTATATGTCAATAAAATTATATCCACAGATTCAATGTTCGAGAGGAAAGTAATTGTAATAATTTACACAAACTCTTGCCATGGAATTCTACAGAAACAAGAGTTTTTATGAAAGTAGGTAAATGTAGCGTAGTAATCGAAAAGCGCTCTGGTAAAGTTCCTTTGGAAGTGTGTAGGCGATTGTTACTTCCCGTGGAAGTTGATTGATTCTTCGGGTACCTGGAATAGGGAGTTAGTGTTGCGTGACCTCAGAGCCCAGGGGACGGCTTGTATGAACTGGTTTCTTGGATTGGTTCCGTTTTAGTAACTTACCGCCGGTTACGGACAACCATAGGGCGAATCGGGATGCACGATTCTTGGGGTCCACCTTCTCTAACACTCTCTCCAGAGTGGAGAGACAGCACAGCTGGCATGCTGACCATCTGAGGGAAACACATTACTGATGTTACGTCCCTGTTCCCCAGAAGTACAACTTCGCCCACAGACCCCCAGCATAGTGCAAAAAAATCTCACACTATGCCGGTGACTGCTTTTAGTTTAATTGCTATCTTAACAGTCTTCCTGGCATGGTAGGACCTGCATTAACAATAGTTATAGCCAGTGTAGCTTGTTGGGTCATTGCGATATGCAAGCTCGACCACCACGTCAAGGTAGCAGATATCGGTCGGGATTAATTTAAATAATTTTAATGGCTCAATGGGACGTGGCGTCCAAATTATTCCTGGAAAGTCGTGACATCTATGGTCTGGAAACTTATAAGGAGAAATGCATAGATCACATAAATTATATAATTAACCAGTCGTCGTCTATAGGAATATCCTCTTTCAAACTGAACAGTTCATCGTAAGGCTTTGTCTGATATTAATGGACAAATTGTATATCTTGAGAAATTCAAGAATATTAACAACTAGCTAGAGTTATGTGAAACGATTAACTCTCTAATGCCCATATGAGCCTATTTAAAAAGATATATACGCTGAAAATTGGAACTAGTGATTTACCACTTATCGATAGCTCATCAAATATTTACACCCTAAATTATTGTTGAGTACGATTATAGTCTACAATGCGAATAAGCTGAAATTAGTCTTCGCTAAAATGGTGAGTGCTAAGCTCACAATCAAAATGACCTGTGCAGCCTAGAGCTGTTTCAAGCAAATGCACGCAAAAGGACACTTCGACCTCAGAATGATCACCTTCGTTTATCCTGGTCACAACCAAGTGGATAAAACAATCAGCCAAACTTCGTAACAGATCGCTACACAACGTATCGCCAACCGTAAAACAAGTGTGCAACCAAGTACTTCAAACACCCATCTTTCAAAAAATGAAGGGTGATCTAAAAATGCACTTCATTCAATGGAGTTGAGACAACCAAGTAATGTCTTTACGCAGAAAACACTGGATGTGACTTACCTCGGCATACGAACAAGTACAAGAATTCTGAGTTACGCTACTATTCACTCATGATTATTGACCTGAATAATAAGAAATACCCTTCTTAAGAGTGGATGACGATTTTAAAATCATTACAAATGAGAATTAAAAACCAACTCACTTGCAGTGACCTTAGTAGAACACAATCAGCATGTTTACAGAACGGCATACTTTCAAGAGAACGACCGTTGCTCCGTTCCGAAGGTGATGCTCCTAAAACTGCATCAGTTTCCCTCTGACATGAAAGAGTCGGAGATGACGTTGGTGATACAAACAATGGGGAGATGTTATTTGTTCGCTCCGTCCTTGTCAATGGCTCTGAAACATGGCCAATACGCGTTGAAGACATGAAAAGGTTGACTGTTTTTGATCATAGATGTCTGCGATCTCTGTCTCACGTTAGGTGGTTTAATAAGGTAAGTAATGTTGACGTTAGGCGTAGAGTGTTGGGTAGAGAGGGAGAATCGATCGAGGAGGCTATAAAGTTACGTAGACTGAGATGGCTAGGTCACGTGCTGCTCATGCCTAACCATCGCCTCCCCCGACGGGCATTGCTAGGTGATATAGGTGCAGGTTGGAAAAGAGCCAGTGGTGGCCAAACAAAAACATGGCATCATTCCATGAAATCCTTGACAGTTAAACTGAGTCAGGTAGGGAGATGCAGACTCCCGGGTTGGGGGCCTCGGGACTCTAGGAATCAATGGCTGGAGACAATAGGTGACATGGCTCAAAATCGTTGTCAGTGACGCAGATGTATTCAGTCTCTGTAATCTTTCATATTCCTTTCTACCATTACCCATTCTGTTTCACTCTTATACTTGTCAAACTCTATTGATTGTCTTCACTTATCTTTTTGTCTACCTCTGTGTGCTATTTGGAACGTGGCAACTCGAACTGGTGCACTTCGGTGCCAAGTTCTATGTTGAATCCAGATAGACAGACAGAGTTGACTCCACCTTAGACTCAAGATCTGTGACATTTCTTAACCAATGTGCAACCGTTTGACAAAATCCTACTGGATTTTCAACAGTCTGATTTACTGAAGTAAAAATTTGTGAAAGACATTCCTCTGATTCATTTAACTGGTTTAACTCTAAACTCAATGTAGAATTGACTGACAAATGACCAGATAAGTGTGTTTCTCGATTTCTGAGTTGTTTCAAGTGTCTTTTACCTGCTAGATGACAATCAAGCTGTTGTTTAGAGGAACAGTTAAGACCACACAGTTCACAGAAGTAGGGTGTATCGTTGTTCCCAGTGAATCGTTGCTCCATACGGGTCTGTCCAGATGTTTGACTTTCAGAAGACGTTCCACTGCAGTGAGACGCATATTGCTCAGGAGTATTGGAGTTTGTATTCCATTCCTGACAAAAGGATGCATCTACAAATTGACTAATAATATGAAGTTATAAGCTTACATAGAGTGAGCTTTCTTTTGTGACTTGACCCCATTACATGTTGCAGAAAGGGCATCTTACCGGTACACTTCACGTTGCATACTTTGCAAGTGTGAAATTCACCAAATTGAGTGTATTCTATTTTGCAAACACTGGTAATTTGACTGAGACCCATATCTATCAGAGTGTTACTTTGCGTAGTGTCCTCTGAAGAAGTGCACAATTGTTCTTCAGGTGCTTCTGGTACAACAGACGGCGTATGCATTTCTATAAACAGTTTAGTGACTCGGATGTTAAGTTGGAAAATTGGTTGCACCCAGTAAAGCTTGTTGGGTCATTGCGATATTCATGCCCAACCACCAGTTCAGGGTAGCAGGTATCGATCGGGTTGTAGGTTCTACCTTAAACTTAAAAATTAATGGTCTTCAGTTTAAGGTAATTCTATTTACCCCATTGATGTGATATCATCGACATTAGCATGTTAAATCTGGATTGGCTGTTGAGTATATATATATATATATATATATATATATATATATATATATATATATAAACCTTGACAGTGCATGTATTTAGTTGTAAGTAGCATAAAGAAGTAAATCCAGGGTTCTAGTTCTTATAAATATATTCTACTCCTTATCAGTTTTGCCATTTGAGTTAGGTAACTCTGCACATTGGGTTAATTAAAATTTGTTCTCACGAATTTTTCACTTCACATGTCCTATAGCCTGACTGTTTATTCTAATCTCTTTGGAAAAACAGCTGTTTTATGATTATCTTCCATTGTATTTGTCTGGAGAATCTCGTGTCACTTAATATTCAAAAGTATTTAGCCACTTTGTCCTCTGATCCTTTCGGTTGAGTAAATACCTTGGTAAATTTAAAGCCCATTTCTCACGTGTGTATATACAAAGAGATGTGATTTTTACATGGCTAGCTTTTGTAAATGTTTACATGATCTGTAACAGATTCCCAATCTAATGCTGAACTACTTAACTTAATTGTTTGTGTATTGTTAGGAATGTTAATTTGTTTTCTTATGCTTGGATTGTGTGCACATCTCGTATTCGTGAAGAACACACTTTCACAGGTTAGACGAAATAGTAACAAATAATATTTTCATTGCTTAAGCAATTACTTAAAGCATATCGTGATGATGCTATTCAGTTAACATACTTTTCTTTATTCTGAACCAGCTTTCCTTTGTCTACTTTATAAGGTACCGTATTGTTTTGGATTCTGATCAAGAACAATTTGGTGGTTTCAGTCGAATTGATCAATCTGTTGAAGTATTTACGAACAGCGAACCATGGGATGGCCGTCAAAACTGTGTTTTTCTGTATTTACCAAGTCGCACATGCATGGCTTTGGCGTGGGAGTAATTGATACCTCCACTGGAATGCAGTATTCCCTTGTACTTAGAATAAGTCACTAAAATATCCCCTGACCTCACATTTACATACATTTTGGTTGTAATCTCCGGTGGGATATCATACTGTTGCATACAATTGTATGAATTTATTTTTATTTTTATTTTAATGACATGAAATTATTGTTTAAGGGGATGCTTATGACTAATTTTTAAGTTACTAAAGGAAGTAGTCTACTTCATGCTTTAATTTTGGTTTTAATCCATTACACATTTGTAGTTGTGCCATAAAACTCATTTGGAAAATAAACAGCCTTTTTTTGTTAAAATCATAAAATCTTTTAGGGAATTCTATAAAAAAGTATTTCGATATGGTACTACTAGATACATTAGATACATTTGGCTGGTATCTACTTATGTAACGACAAAAGACAAGAGTCAGGCAACAGATCCTTTATTAAGGAAATCAACACGTATTTATGTATATTTCATGTACATTATTTATTATAGCTTATTCAAGCAGACAAACACAGTCTTCTGATTGGCTGTTTCTTACAGAAAGTTGACATTGCATCTCTTTGTGACTGTTTCTTGAATGTCAGGTCATCTATATGTTAATTGTATCTGCCTACGCCAAGTCTGCTGTGATTGGTTGTTGAATCAGTCTTGTTCATATTTTCTCATCACCAATATTTGCGACATACCCATTGACGTAAAATGCTGTCTACCATTTTTGGCTAACCTGCTCTCACCACACTCGTCCCCTCGTCAAATAGCTTCGAGCGCAGTCGTTCTGTCCTTCTGGTTGATACATCCTCTAGTTGAAGATTTTTACTGACCCGCTTGTCCCACTGTACCCAATGTTGGAGCTGACTGGCGTTAACTCGTTTCTGTTTGTCACCTCTTCGGATGGTATATACTTGACCCCATCTTCTTGTGATTGTGTATGGTCCTTCCCACTTTGGAAGGAGTTTCCGTGAACCTGGTCCGCATCCAACTGTAAATCTTCTGTCTCTACACTTCACTTGGTCCCCGACTGCAAAGGTAATGCACTGAGTCTTTCCGTCCAGCTGAGACTTCACGACATCCCTCCGCTGCTTCTGCATTACATTCTTGACTGTTTCCTTCCGCTCGTCTTTTAATTTCGTCGTACTCCACTTTTGGTGAAGGGGCCAGGTCTCGTGTATCGGTAATCGTGGTTTTCTACCATACATCAGTTGAAAGGGTGACTTCTTTGTTGTTTCCTGAGGGGTACCACGTTGTGTTAGTAAAATCAGTGGAAGCTCCGTTTCCCAATTACCGCCCTTCGAGGCCAGCCACTCCTTCAGTGTACGGTTGTTCCTCTCCGTTAGGCCATTCGTTTGTGGATGATATGGTGTCATTCTGACCCTCTTGATGCCCAGCTGTTGCCAACGGGAGGTAAATTCTTCACTTTGAAAACAGGAACTTTGGTCTATCAGTAGTGTCTTTGGTCTATCAGTAGTGTCTTTGGTACGCCGTGGTCTGCAGCGATGTGTCTAACTACCGCATCTGTCACGGTCCTTGCACGTTGGTCTGGGATTGCTACGGCGTTTACCCATCGTGTCGCGTGTTCCGTCATCACCAAGAGGTACTGATCACCATTGGACGTCTGAGGAAATGGACCCATGACATCTACAGACGGGCTGCTATCTCATTGAAGTTCTTCACGAAGCGACTATAAAACGCTGCTCTACCCAAGAATTGTCTCAATTTCCTCTTTGAATTTGGGGCTGGGGTCGTTTTTATCGTCATCATATCCTCCGGTAGTGGTTTTAATCTCACTATTTCCCACTTTATGTCCCAACAGAGTAACATTCTTTTTGGCTTTCTGAGACTTGGTTTTGTTGACGCGCAGTGCAAACTCATCGATGCATCGCAGTACGGCTTCTACATGGTTCACATGATCGTTTTCGTTTTGACTGTATATGACGAGATCATCAACATACACCTCCACGTTTTTCAAGTTCTTAAGTAATAGCGTTATCAGTCGTCTGAACGTAAACGGTGCATCTGCTAGTCCAAACGGCATGCGTTTAAATCGATATTGTGTCTGACCTACGATGAATGCCGTCTTATCTCTATCACCTTGTTTTATCGGTATCTGCCAGTATCCTGAGCGAAGATCGAGAACCGAAAACACATTCACGCCTTGTAGGCGATCTAAAGTTTCTACCACTGTTGGCATGGCACACGGTCTTAACTCTGTCATACTGTTTAACTGTCGAAAGTCAACACAGAATCTATACTTCCCATTCGCTTTTTTACTAACAGCACTGGAGAGTTGTACGGGCTATCAGCTTCCTTAGTAATATCATCTTTTAACATCTCTCGCGCTTGTCGCTCAATTTCGCCTTCCATATGACATGGAACTCTTCGCGTTGTGAATGACCTTACTTTTGGATCACTTAACGGAATTTCATGATTCACCTTATCGCAATAACCGTATGGGTCGCCATCTCCAGTGAACAGATGATCGTATTTATTAATTAACTCTGTCATATTGTGTACCGTCGACAGCTTAACCGCTGCTATCTCACTGGTCTCATACATGTTGATATGGCCGTATTTCGTGATCACAACGTTCGCTTGCGTGTCGATTATTGCACCAATCTCCCGCAGAAAATCCGCTCCTAATATCGTTCGCTGTAGTTCGGGTACAACAATGAAAGGAAACGTCACCTCGCAGCCGCCAACAACGACCGTACAGTTCGATCTACGCGTGATACGCAACACACGCCCGCCTACTGTTTGTACTGTCAATGAACACGGACTAACACTTACATAAATTCTTAAGTATTAACGACACGGCCGCCCGTGTATCTACTAAACATACTACTTCTCGATCATTCACTCGCAACTTCGAATACACAGCCCCTTTCTCAATAGCCCCCACTACATCTAGTTTTATACGAGAGAAAGAACACGTATTATACCGTCTGAAACTTTTTCTTTCTCGCCTTTCTGGCAGTATTTCCTCCAGTGTCCCGGCTTACCGCATTCAAAACATCGGTCTTTTCTATCACCCAACTTTAACGCCGCCACTTCCCCCTGCAACGCTTCAATTTTCTGCTCGTATTCGTTTGGTTTTGGTTGCTCTATAGCGGCTACAGTTGTGTTCAGCAGCTGTCTGGTCACCTTCCCCAGCTCACTAATATCCATCGGCTGCGTTGCGTTAACCAGTTATAATCGCTGAGAAATGTGGTCTGGAACACTCTCGATGAACTGGGAAGACAGTAACTACGCTTCTGACTCTTCATCCAAAGTAGAAAGCGCACGTCGAAGTAGATTCGTCAATTCCACGGCTAAAACTAACGGGTCTCCATCAGGTCCTAGCTTCGTTGGACGGAGCTGCTGCATTGCTAGCTGTCTGTCTGTTGCACTTTCAAACTCCGACACCAATCGTTCAGCCAATATCTTCCAAGACGTTGTGCCATCTGACCTGTCACACGCTGCCTTCGCTCGGTCTCTCAACAGCGTCCCCAGGACAATCGCCTTCGCCGCCTGCTCCTTGACACCTACCAGCTCAGCGACGACCTCGAAGTCACGTAAGGAGCTCCGTATGTATCCTTCTTCAAACGAAGTTGGCCATGGGATCTTCATTTTTCGGAGGCAGCGACACCAATTGTAACGACAAAAGACAAGAGTCAGGCAACAGATCCTTTATTAAGGAAATCAACACGTATTTATGTATATTTCATGTACATTATTTATTATAGCTTATTCAAGCAGACAAACACAGTCTTCTGATTGGCTGTTTCTTACAGAAAGTTGACATTGCATCTCTTTGTGACTGTTTCTTGAATGTCAGGTCATCTATATGTTAATTGTATCTGCCTACGCCAAGTCTGCTGTGATTGGTTGTTGAATCAGTCTTGTTCATATTTTCTCATCACCAATATTTGCGACATACCCATTGACGTAAAATGCTGTCTACCATTTTCGGCTAGCCCGCCCTGAGCACACTTATATTACCACATGCTAAGTATATTAGGTTATTCTTATCAACACGATGTTACTGAAGTATCATGGAGCATGTTATTCTAAGACATAAATAGTCACTGCTTAAATTGTTTTTATAAGCATCTTTTAGAGAATTAACTCAGCCCTTTCTCTAAGCGCCTCATTGACCTGATTTCATCGCCTATCATAGAATCATTTCCTCATAATTTGTCAGACGCTTCCAAACTTCATTATGGATAAGATTTTATTTCGATAAATCACAGTGTTGTACAGTTATATTAAGTGATGACGTTTCGAGCACAAACTATTGCTCATAATCATATCACTTGATATGATTATGAGCAATGTTTTGTGCTCGAAACGTCATCAGTTAATATAACTGTACAACACTGTGATTTATCGAATTAAAATCGTATTCATAATAGACTTATACTCTACCACAGTGCCCAAGTTTTATACTTATATCAATAATACATATGGGCTTCCAAACTTAACAAGTACTGAAAATTCGTGATTATCTTTCCGCCATCATTATGTTCCTTATCAATTTTTTTGTAATTAACTTAAGTCTTATTTTTGAAATATTTTGACTATCTTATTTAGCTGACTTGTTTTTCTTAAACCTTATTTCTAAACCCATAAAATATTCCTTGTTACTGTTGATTTAAATCTCCTTGTGACTCCTGACCTGACCTTATTCACTCAGTCCATTTATTATAACCAAGATCTGCACAGATTTGTAATGAAATGGTTAATCCGAAAACTTGGATTTCTAATGATGAATGAGGATTCTCCGTTGCGTTGAACTGCTAACACCATACAGGAGCGTATGGGATTTATTAAAGTGTTTTTTTGTGTGTGTACTGTGGAAGTTATTCGTACTATCCTGGCCAATTTCCACTTGAATTTTGATCTATTAATATTAAATTGCAGCAATCCACAATATCATGTGCCCATTTCAGAATTATTTATTAAACGTACCACTCATTGAAACAATGTTGTTTATGAGATAATGTTTCTAAAACAATTTGTTGTTCATAAACATAGATCATATGACACACAATTCATGTGACCAACCACAGCGCATTATATTTCATGCAGTCAAGCCTAAGATCAGCGATTTCAAAAAATCCAATTATGAAAACAAAACACGTAGTTCCGCGAAGAGTCTCTTTTCGGTGAATCCACTCATGTAGCTGTACACTCGCAATTATATATACTTATTTTTGTATATGTGTGTGTATGTTAGGTTTGTCCAATAAGAATAAAAATAAGTTAGGGTTATTGTTGTCAAGACATGTCAAAAATATGATGAGTAATC